TCTATATCTATCTCTGTCTCTAACAATAGCTCATATCATATTACTGGAAAAGTAAGGGTATTACAATAGTCGCCATGCTGCTGCTAGTCATTTCGCTTTAGTTACGCTTCAATTTATGCATATTGCATAATATTTTATTCTCTCCAGATTAGCATATTTATTGATTATTCGCTATTCGACAGCTGTGGAAGTTGGTTTTATGGTCAACTAGATCTAGAATTGCATTCAGCTAAAAGTCGAAGAAGGAAAAAAAAATAAATATGCAACATAAAAAACTGCAGTTAAAAATTGTGTGGGGAATGTGAATTTTGTTCGGCATTTGTCTTCGGACTTGTTGCTGCTCGTTTCTCTCTCTCTCTCTCTCTGAGCTCTGATGTTGTTGAGTGTTGTTGTTGGGTTGTTGTTCGGTCAGATTTCGTCGCGTTTAGCGTTAAGTGACATCAACACAAATTCCTTGGCATGTGGCGGCATTCAAATTTCAAGCCGCATGCAGCGCCTCGATTCGAAATCATTGCACAGCTGAAAGCTGAAAATTCGGAATTCCTGGGAACAATCGCAGCGCTGCTCGAATATATGCTGATTGCGAGCTCGAGCTGTTAAACTCTGTTTGCCCACTATAATTCCGAATAATCGCTATTGCTATTGACATAGCGTACATACGTTGCGAATATCACGCATTCGCCACATGTGCCCATGCATAATGCATTCACACTCGATTGCATTGCGCTTGCCCACGAATTGGCCAAACATTCATTTCATTTACGCCAGCAACGCCAACGTCAACGACAACAGCGAAAGTTAGTGAGCCAGCGCACAGGTTGAGGCAAGTTTTCATCCCAATGCCCAATGCTAGCTAACAGTAGAGCATCCACAATACAACTCAAAGCAAAGCAAAGCAATACAAAACAGAACCAAACCGAGCCGTCAACTTGATTAAGACGATTAGCACAAAAACGCTCATTACCAGAGCACGAGCTGGCCCCGTCCCCTCAGCTACCGGCGAGATGAAAGAGCCTAAGCCGGCTCTGGAATGCTAAACAGTTAGCTGGTCAAAAACGTCGCTGACCCAGCACCATTGACGTATGTGTGTGTGTGTTTCTGTGTCTGTCTGTGTGTGTGTGTCATAGACTTTAAGATCGCATTTCAAAACAATCTGAACACTCGAAGACGCCTCGAACGACAAACAAAATTAGCTTCAATCTGGGAAATTAAATACAAATAATAATAAACAATTTGTTTATAATTGTTTTAACACGTCCCTTAGCATTGACTGCGTTGCCACTCTTTGCTTAGCTTTGTATTTGTATGTTGGAGGGGAAAAAATATGAATATCGTAAATGTAGTGTATCTTATTAAACATGGTCAGACAAGTTTAGTTTTGCCAGCATATTTGAAGGATCTTTTTAGGGCATTCTGTGTTTAAAAATACATTTCAACAAATGCTGCATAACTCAAAGAATCATGGCAAGCAAATGAATATCGTAAATTTGAAATCTCTTTTTGAGTAAGCTTATTCAGTTTTGCCGGCATATTTGAGAGATATTTTAGCATATGCCTTATCTAAAACTACATAATCGATATTCGAATATCGTAAATATAAAGTCTTTTGCTAGCTAGAGTCTTACCAAATCTATTATATTGACATTTGGATTTATACTCGTTTAGTTTGTTGCTTTACTTAAGCTCTGAACATCTTTTCAGATCTCATCTTATCAATCGATATTTCCAACAAAGCAACAAATATCGTAAATTTTGAGTCTCTTATTAGGTATATCCAGATGCATGAATGCGAACTATTGACGACTTTACTGAGATCTTCTTAGATCGTATCTTATTTATAGCTTAATTTATAATTTGAATATCGTAAATTGTAAGACTTTTATTAAGTACAGACAAGTGGATATATGCTGGTTTAGCTAGCAAATTTATTAATGCACTCAGAGAATGTTTTAGTTAACTTCTTACATATGCAAAGCGAATATCGTAAATTGAAAATCCTTTTAGTATGGCCAGGCGAATTTATTCATTTTCAGCTCTGGCAGCATATAAAATATATTTTTAGTGGATCCCTTATCAATTACTGCATTTTCAATATTTGATTTCTTCGGGATCTCTGAATATCGTACGTTGACAGTCTCTTAACAAGTAGGGTAGGGCTTTTATCTGCAAATGCATATGCTTGATTGAAACTCTGACAGCATGTTTGCTATATTTGCAGAGCTTTGGCTCTGTCTATGTCAAATGTAAAACGATTATCGTAAATTTAAAGTCCCCTATTAGGTTTGGTCCATCATATCAGATGTGCTGACTGACAGTCAAATTTCGGCATTCAATTAAACTCTGACAGCAATTCATATCGTTGAATGCATTTCCACAAACATCATATCAGATGAACGAGCTAACAGATTGCCTGACATGTTTGTGCACATGACTTCAGCTCTGGCAGCTGATTAATGCTTGGGCTAAACACCATGACGGCAGTGACGATATAATTATAATAAGCAGCTACTCCTGCTGCGGCAGCTGTTGTTGCTGTTGTTGCTGCTGTTGCAGTTGCTGCTGCGGGTGCTGTTGTTGCTGTTGCTTTTGCTGCTTCTGCTGCTGCAGTTGTTGCTGTCGTTGCTGCTGCTGCTTCTGCTGCTACTCCTGCTTCTCCTGCTTCTCCTGCTTCACCTGCTTCTCCTGCTGCTACTCCTGCTGCGGCTGCAGTTGCTTCTGTTGCTACTGCTGCTTCTGTTGCTGCTGTCAAGCGTCAAGAATGGTGGCGAATGCGCTCTAACTGTTATTATCATAATCATTGTGATTATCATCGGCTTCATAGCTGATAATCATCTCGATTTGAATATGTTTCGTATGTCAATATATTGGATGCTGGCCCAGCCACAATCTCTCTGCCCGCTGTCAAGCTGAACTATTCCTCAATTTTACACTGTCACTCAGTCTCCCTCTCTCCTGCTCTCCCTCTCCCTCTCCCTCTCGCTCTCTGGCAGCTGGTGCGCGTGTGTGCGTGCCTGTGGTCTGTGGCTGTGCGTCTCACTTTGGGCGGAAGCGCAGCGGCAATGATGTTATTAATGTACATTATAGCCCCTGATTATCATTGCTATGCTTATTATGCTGATTATGTTACACTGATATGCTCTACCCGCACCACACGCCCCCTTGCCTTGTCACACTCCTTGCACACACGCACTCACACTCAGTCGCTCCCCTATTTATGGCTCGCATTGTTTACTATATCGTTTCTCAGCGGAATTTACGGTTTGCAAAAATGAGAGAACAAGAAAAATAGAGAACGTGATTTTGTCATTTAATCTGAAATTTTACAAATTGAGCGTAATTTCGAAGTACGCGATATTAGAGCTACTCGGATCCGTTATTCAAATTATCTTTTGAACATGCATTCATGTGGCCATTCACGATATACTCATTCAGAAAGTGCAATTGAGTATGTTAGTTTTGTGCAATGGATCTGAAATTTTGAATACATATTCGTGGGTAGAACTTCCCGATATACTCACAATGGGAATGGTAAATCTTGTGATATTATATTCGATTCCTCAAGAGCTCTGTTATTTAAAGTGGTAGAGACTGCATTTACTTGAGTTAAAATCGTCAAATCAAATTTTGGGTTGAGGTAGTAAAAAAATTCTTATTTTAGAGTCCTTCTAACGCGTGGCAAACTGACAAAAACTTGTCTTCCACAATTTTATAGTGAGAAACTAAGATTTTAAGGAATAAATGATTGCTAACCTTCTCTATTGACTTTCCATTATGTTTTGGGGCTCGGCAAATCGGAGCCATTGAGCTGAAGATTACAAATGGTTAAGCTACTATAGACTCTTTTCTGAATACTCAACTCTTTCTTTACTGTGAATGAGTATAATGCAGTCGGCAACGCCCAACTGCAGCATTCTTACGTCTATCGAATATTGCCGGCAATTCTATTTTAAAATAGTTCTAAAGTTTTTATAGTCCGATTTTTATGACGTCTCCGATGAGTGAGTGGGTCTGGGTAGGGGTGTATAGTATTTGCGTCCAAAAGTAATTCTATTTTAGAATAAAAAATTGTTTCGAAATAATTGATTTGAATTTGAAAGTCGTCTGCTCCTAGTCATATCTAAAGTATTCTAAGCTCTCGTAACACAGATCTTCCAGCCTATAGCCATTGTATGTATATTTTCCGATAGTATACCGATACGATTGAATAACGGAGCCACTTTGAGGCAATTGTATCGAATGCTGTAGCCGTGGGCCGTTGTCAGAGCAATAGAAACAACAATAGCTGTGGGCGAGGGGGTAGAGGCGTGGCGTGGAACGCAACGAGCATCGAGCAGACCAGCTGTCGACGCTGACGCTAACGCCGACGCCAACGTAGACGTCGTGCGAAATTTATCACCCAAAAGATTCGTGAACTCGACAGGGGCCGTAAGGTCGACAACTTGGCGTGGCTAACGGCTACCTGCTAGCGCTGCTACCTGTCGCCCGTCACGCCCCCACGCCGCCCCGCTTGCGCCACCACCTGTCCGTACGGCCATGCTCACTCCCATGCCCCCAGCCGGCGAGCTTTGGCTGTCGGATTGTTTGATTAATGTCTCGACGCAGGCCATGTGCATTCTCTCTAATCTCTCGATGTGAAATTTTTGCTAATGTTTGTGTGTGTGTGTGTATGTGTATGTGTCTTTGCAGCCATGTGGCGGCGATGAGGCAGACAGCAGCTGGGAGCATGCCGTGCCACTTGTTGCATGCCGTTTCCATGCAGCCAGCGCAACGGCAACAGCAACGAACTCGCATCAAATATCCTGCATATTACTCATACGCCATGTGTCGCCTGGATGCCATCGTAGCATGTTGCAACAGCAGCAGCAGCAGCTGCCACCGCTTGCGGCCACGACGCGCTGACTAATTGAACGATCTATATTACAACAGCAGCCGCCGCAACAACATCAACTACAACAATTAATTGAAATAGCATCATCAACAACAACAACAACAACTAGAACTACAACTACAACTACAGCTACAACAACAACGACGACAAGAACAACAATCGAGCGAACAAACTTGCCCGCACAACAGCTCAAAATGTCTGAGGTAAGTTTGGCAATAAATTTCACTCTTAGTTGCGAACTAAATCTTTGGCGCCCGCCAACAAAGACGTGAGATTCATTCAGACAAAATTTACGTTTCACACTTTTAAACAAACATAAAAATAAAAATACATTTAGACATGTGCGAACATTGTAATACTAAAGGGTTTAGCAAGAGAGAGAAGTGGAATGAAATATGATACAAATCATAGATGTTGCTCAACACTATCGATATTATAATATTTATATGAGATATTTGCTGTAAATATTAAAAATACATCAATTTAACGATCACATATTTTCGTTTATATATTAAAAAAAAAAAAAAAAAAAAACAAATTCATTATTCTCCATGTATAGAGTTCCTGAAAATATTATATGTCTTGAACTTATTTTGCTTCTATTTATCCATCTATTTATCATCTTTGTTCTATGCAAACAAAAACTTGTTAATACTATTTCATTCGCAAGTTATATAAAATGCAAGTAAAACGAGTTTGAAGCAAAATTCACTTCAAAAATTGCGAATTGCATTTTAAAATTAAACAAATAAATTTTGAAAACTTTTTTTATTTGTATCAGCTTAGTTGTTATTATTTCAGTTTGAGCTTAGACGTTAATTAGTTTTCTCATTATGCAAACTGAGTTAAAGTAGTCCGTTAAAACTATATATATAATAATACATACATACATATATGATATATGTATATTGAAATTGTTCAGATTATATATATAATGGTATATATACATAAAATAATATATGTATATTCAAATTGTTGATCTATGGCTTTAGCAATGTGTGTAAATTGAGACCTACTCAGGAGATGCATTAAATTTGTAAGAAGACATAGCTGAATTGAGAGAGATTCCAAGCTCACATCGCTAATCAACGATCATCTTTCATTTAAAATTACTTTGATGCAAACTGCTTTAGAGTAGAAAATTGGCGGAAACTTTAGCCAACAACGAGAAATTCTAGGAAAAAAAAAACTCCGTTGTAAATATGTATGTGCGGAAACAAATATTTAAAGCTAGTTCAGTTTGAGCAGAATGTTTGCAGATAAAAACCAGAAACACGAACAGCAACAGCAACAGCAACAACAAGAACAACAAGGGGCACAAGAACAATATTGTGAATGTGTCTTACTCTGGTCCCGCATAAACATTTGAATTTTGGGTCAGTGACGTCGTCGTCGTCATCGTCGTCGTCTCATATCTCATGTTTATGTATGGGATATACACTCACGCACTCTTTTTTTTACGAATGGGAGACAGAGAGAAAGAGGAGGGAGGGAAAAAGGGATTTGAGCTGGAGTGCGGACAGGGACCACATGCACCTTTTGCTTTGGCAGCGAACAGCTGTTGGCAAACTCGTGCTACAAATATTGACCTAATTTGCACCTGTTTACAAATTCATTTGGCTCGCCGTGTGGCCCACATCGCATATCCCCGCATCCTGTGGGGCAGGACTTTGCGTTTTTGGCGCATGATTTATGCAGCAAAACGCGAACTCAGCTCGCCATACACTAACTAACCAACCACCCATCACCCCTCCGCTCACCGCCCACCGCCCACCGCCAATCGCCCATTGCCCATTGCGAGCGCTAGTTTTAAGTGGGTCAAACCGTGTCCATGCTCATGTCCCAGCCAGGGTGACCCACTCGACCAGCGGCTATTCACAGGATATTTGCGGTGCCTCCGAGCTAGCGGGCTTGCCATGCCCGCCAATGGCTTTCTGCGGCGCGGCGCGGCGCCTCAACGGGTCAGTTATGCACACATTGTTGGCATTCCCTTGTTAAACAAATTTACATTTTCATGCAACAGCGGAGCAGTCAGGCTCCAGCTACAACTACAACTACAGCTCCAGCTCCAGCTCCAAAGAGTGGCGAGCGTTCTTTAGAACAATCGCAATGCTTTCAATTACGGTTTGCCAAAGCATTACACAGCACGATGGACTCCAGCAACTACATCATATATGTATGTATGTATGTATGCATGTATGTACATGATGCTACTCTCATATTCACGTATTCTAAGAGCCCACAACAGGCACAACAACTGGAACTGGAATTTACCAAGCGGCTACGATGGGTGTTTAGAGCATATTATCAAATATATGTGAGAATCCTTTTCAGTGAAACGGAGCAAAAGCCAGAGCTAAGTTTCCCACAAAGCGGCCAGTCCGAGTCGAAAAGTCAGGCAAACAAATTGAAATAACAATGGAAGAATTTAATTTTGAAATTTTATTTGATTAAAGTTGATACCTGATATCTCATGTATAAGCATAATTATCTATGTATTTATTATTTGTTGGGCTTTCCTACAACAATTTGAAAAGTTGTTCAGAAAAGCTAGAAATATTTTTAGGATTTTTATGTTTTTCCATTTACTCTTAAAAACTACAATTTGCAGGGCGTAAATTGCCTCGTGAGCCACGTGAGCCAATTTTAACCTCATTTAGTTTGTGCCAGAACAGCTTAGGTCTAGGCTAAATGTGGGTTAAATGCTTCTTGCAGGCTGAAAATAAAGGCCTTACTAAATAGAGCTCGCACAAGGAAAATTTGCCTCGCACAACTATTATGTGACGCTAAAGCAAGAAGAAAAACAATTAAGATTCTTGCAGGACTGCTTAACATTCGTTTACTTTTGGAAAATTTTTTAAATATTTTTCTTTAGGCATATGTAAAATTTGCTTTTTAATTAATAGAGAAGCTCACAAATAAACTTGTAGTAAAATTTCTAGCTCTAAAGAATATATAGCTAGACCGCTTTATCATGCCCTCAATAGGTGTAGATTTATCAACCATATACATACTAATACTTAGAGACTTGAAGCTTAGAATATATACTATTATTTAGCATTTTTTGTATACCACAGATAATATTGTGCACTTTGCCACGCCTCTAGTGGATATACCGGAAAGAAATCTTAACACTTTAATGGACGAATATACCAACAAGGGTTTCATTTCATATAAACGGACATCAGTAGGTAGAATACAGAGAAACGCAATATAGTTTTGCCACTTCATGAATGTGTATAAACAAATATCATAGCTAAACCTATATAATTCATAGCTGGCATTAGAAAACCCTCTAAAGTAGAAGCACTTTTCTGAAAAGCGAAAATGAAAACGAAAGCTTTAATCAGGCATTGCTTACACAAGAGCAAGAGCAAGAGCTCAACAGTAACAGTAGCTGCTGCCGGCTGGCTCCTCGAGCTCAGCCATTCAGGCACTCAGCTATTCAGCTATTTGTACATATGGAAACAGATGTACACACACGAGTCGAGCGTTGAAACGGAATGGGAAAAGCGAATAAAACGTGTAGATAGATTGTAAAATTGGCAATGGAACGTCAAATAGTTGATAAGCGAGCCAAAGGGATAACCATATTGAGTTAACTGATTTTCCACTTCAATCTCTGGAGTCCACATAAAATGCCAAAAAGCAGAGCACAATAGAATCGACAATGATTTTCAATCTGATTGAAAATGTGCGGAACGGGTATGATGTGCTTGTGAAAATGTAGACAACAGGCAGAGAATGATGGGAAAGATGGTACTATAAGGAACTAAATCGATCGAAAGATACAGCACTGTTCACTATATCCATCTGTCTGTCGGGGATCTAGCATATTCTGTGGCTAGTTTACTGGAATATGAAATATGTTCTTATATACAATATACATATATGTATTTTAGTATATCACTTGAAATATTTTAATTTTGAAGTATTATTTGAAGAACAATGGATATACATATAGTGAATACTTTTCTTCATTCTGCCAATATATATAGTTAACTATTTATACATACATACATACATGTAAAAATGTATATAAGTGGCTTATAGATTACAGTTTTTTTGCAGTGTTTAGGGTATATGCTAGTCGTACAATCGCTCGAGCATACTTACTTGTCTTTACTGAATGATACACAATTTGTGGGGGCATTGACGTGAGCTATTGGTTGGTTCTCAAATCATGTATGTATTATATATATCGAATTGGTTTATCCAATTAAATATCAGTTCTTGTCCTGCCAGACACTCAAAGCATACACAATCACATATTCATTATATATTATACATATAGAAATATCTAGTTGTGCTGTATATAAAATCTGTTAAATGACATTTGTTTTTAAGCTAAAGTCGCTTAGTATTTGGATATATTTTAAGTACTTTCCTCCATTTCCTAATGGATGAATGGAATGATTCGTAATTTCAAATAAAATATATTA